CTAGTCCTAGAATCCCATTTCATATTTTTAAAAATTACCAAAATCCGGGCTGGCCCTGTGGCCGAGTGGTTAAAGTTCCACACCCTCTGCTTCGGTGGCCCAGAGTTCACAGGTGCAGATCTGCTCCACTCATCAGCCGCGCTGTGGCGGCATCCCACATGCAAAGTAGAGGAAGACTGGCACAGGTGTTAGTTAGCTCAGGGCCAGTCTTCCTCACACAAAAAAAGAGGAGGATTGGCAACAGACATTAACTCAGGGCAAATCTTCCTCACAAGAAAAATTACCAAGATTGGTCACAAAAACAAATGAAAGGGAACAGTCATAAAAAATACATATTTTAATATGTATTTGCTAAATGTGGGAAACTAAACACCTAATATAAAAGCAGTAACATAAATGTACATTTATTGGCGAGTTCTCTATGGGCTGGAATTCCTGGGGCTTTTCCCCCCTGGGTTTTGTTTTGAAGGCCATAAGTTTGGGCATTAGTAAAACCTATTTTGTTAAAAGACTGATCCCTTTAAAGATTTTATGATTTTCTGATTACAGAAGTAATAATACCCCTTATAGAAGATTTGGAAAATCAAAACAAGAATTAAAAAGATTGAAATCATCCCTAATTCTATACCCAGAAATATCGCTGTTTGTGATTTGTCCTGTGTCCTTCAGTGTGATTATGTATTTCCCTTCGTTGTATATTATGGGTGGGTGTGCGAGTGAGAGAGACACTTGATATTTCAAGTGCTGTCAAGCCAGATCCATGGAGATTGACGTGCATGTTAGAAATGAGCGTACTCAAGTTTTTTAATGCCTGTAATTTGGATTATCTGCAACTTCTCTTCCCTCATCTTCAGCTTTTATAAGCTATTTATACATCCTCTTTATGGTGTCTACCATTGTTATCAATATAATTTCATGTAACAAATACCCATATAGATTTTTATCTATTTGGTTCTTAATTGAGACTACTGGAGTTTTCCTTTCCTACATGATCCAAATGCAGTATGGGAGCACCTGTGTGACATGAAAGATGCTGCCTAAAGTTTGAAAACATGCTCAGGAAGGCCAGTCACAGCATGTAACACTCATTAATTTATGTATTTTTCTTTCAAAATAGATTTATTGAGTGCTGGTAATGATAGCAGGCATCCCACATATAAAGTAGAGGAAGATGGGCACGGATGTTGGCTCAGGGCCAGTCTTCCTCAGCAAAAAGAGGAGGATTGGCAGCAGATGTTTTAAGATTATGCCGCAGTGCACTTTTTAGGAGAGTAGACACACAGTAAAATCAAATTAAGATACCCTGAGCTGCCTCCAGAAAAATTCTGAATAGTAATTTTTACGTAGTAGTTTTACAGTGCCCATAATTTCCACAATTTCTTGTGCTAAAGGTGTGGCTGTAAAGACCAAAAGAACATACTTTTTTCTTTTTGGTAATTTTATGGTAACCATATTTTTTAGGTTTAACGTGTAGCCCTAAAGAACCAGAAACCCAAAGGAACCAATATTCCTGCCACGCAGAGCCCCATCTTTAGTGAGGCTGTTGCTGGAGTCTGTATGATGACCAAGGTGCTGGGCATGGCCACAGTTCTGGGCCCTAGGCCTCCACAGGAGCAGGTGGGGCTTGTGATTGTGAAAGTCGAGGAGGAGGAGAAAGGGAAGTGCCTTCCTAGCCTGGAGATGTTCCGCCAGCGCTTCAGGCAGTTTGGGTACCATGACACACCTGGACCCCGGGAGGCCCTGAGCCAGCTCCGGGTGCTTTGCTGTGAGTGGCTGAGGCCCGAGATCCACACCAAGGAGCAGATCTTGGAGCTGCTGGTGCTGGAGCAGTTCCTGACCATCCTGCCCCAGGAGCTCCAGGCCTGGGTGCAGGAGCACTGCCCAGAGAGCGCTGAAGAGGCTGTCACTCTCCTGGAAGATCTGGAGCGAGAACTGGATGAGCCAGGACAGCAGGTAGGCTGGGGGAGACCTTTTACTGTATGGGATGGAGAGCATTCCTGGAGGGAATGGGTTTGTCCATGCAATAAGAATAGCTGAATGGACGTTTCTGTTGAGTTAGACCTTGTTTCCCCCTGTTTTTCTTCTGCATCCTGTATTGACTTTTAGCTTTGGGAATTGAATGGGATGGATGTTTTTCTTTTCTCTTTCCTAGAGGTTCTACATAGCTCTCCTGAAGCTTGCTTTCCTTCTAATTCTTAAAGTGAGCTGTGCTGAGACCCAGCCATTCCTGATTGTCTCTAGGTCTCACCTCCTCCAAATGAACAGAAACAGGTGTGGGCGAAGATGTCATCTTCAGGAACAGCAAAGGAATCCCTCAGCGGCGTGCAGCCACAGTCTGTGGAGACCATTCCCAAATACGAATCTTGGGGGCCCCTGTACATCCAAGAGACTGGTGAAGAGCAGGATTTCACTCCAGAGCTGAGACAGATTCAAGGTAGGGAAGATCAGCCAGGCCCTGCTTGATGCCCCAGGCCTTTGTGATTGAAGAAGAAACGGGATAATTCTAATTACTGTTCTGAGGCAGTCCCCTGGTTTGACTCGACTGGTCTGACTACCAGAAAGAGTTGCCTTTCTTGCCTCAGATGCATCTCAGTCCTAGCATGGGAACAGATGACACACTCCTAAAGGGTCAGTTGAAGTGAGTTTAACAAAGGGACTGTTTCCGGAGGTGTGGACAGGTTGAATGAACCAATAAGAGAAGGTGTTTGTTGTCTGTTAATGATTTAGTGAAGCTGTCATAGTCAGCTTTGGATGATGCAGAAATGGTCCCTGGTAAATTGTTTTTCAACTGCTGCCTGCTTAGGCTATTTAAAATTCTTGAGCTTCGTTACGTTAACTCCTTTCCCACACAGTTCATGGCAGCTGGAAGGGAAGTCTCTCTGCGTAGCCCAGTGCTTGCTCATCTGGAGAGTGACAGGGATTTTGGTGCTTCGGTGCTATGTGTGCAGCAGACGGTCAGTGGGGATGAGCCTGGAAGCCGCTGAGTGGTTACTGCCAGCAGAGGAAGGAAATAGGTGGTCAGGTGGAGAGGGAGACACAGGGACAAGGAAAAAGGGGCTCAGAGGAAAGTGCTCGTTGAGGGATGACAGTTGTCAGAGGGAGCCCCTTTTTCTGTGTGAATTTCTCTTACTCCCCTTTTCCGTGTATGTGGGCAGTTAGATGGACTTTTTAGAAGTGTGACTGCCTAGTGAATTGCTCTAAAAATGATCTAATTCTTCAGTCTGATTTCAACAGTAAATGTTACTTTAAACGAATTATAAGACAAAGCCAATATAGGTGACATGATAAAGAGTTAAACTCTTGTGGGAGTTAAGTGCTTTCATTCAAATGAATAAGGATCTAGGACTAGAATGATTATAAATGGGCTGAATCTTCCCTTCTTTTGCTTTTATATTCAGTTTTTGTGAGAATGTGGATTTTGTTAGTTTGCCACTAGCCCTTTCTCCCTTAATTATCCTTTTTATTTTCCTTAATCAACTCTGACCCTTCAGCAATCTATCTTTCTTGTTCCTTTCTGTCGAGCATCACCCGTCTCCTTTGCTGCTGTCCCCATACGCTTGGTTTGGCCTTGTTGCCCTCTAGGTATGAAGTTCTAACAGAGAAAGCCATGTGTTCATCACACCATAACCGCTTCTGGTAGGGACTTGTGTGAGAGTCTGGTCTTGAAACTAGATTTGATGGTGACTTATTTGTATCAATGTGATATTGTGACCTCTCAGAGCAATGTTTGGCCACCCTTTGGAACCCATCCGTGTCACTGAGGATTCTGTTTCTCCTTTAACACTTTCTTCTCAGCACAGGAAACAACTGACATGTCCTTTTTCTACTTAATGTTTCAGATCGTAAATCGAACACTCAGAATGAGGCATCAACAGATAAGCCAGAAAGTTCTGAAGAATCTCATGCAGAAGGATTCCAAAGGGATATTACCCCCATGATTACTGCCAATAAATGTGAGGCCAGGTTAGAAAGGCAGTGGGTAAACCTTGAAAAGGAAAGTGGAACAAAAACCCCTCTCCTAGACAAAGGTTCCAAGAAAGGTAGAGAACTAATTCCTACTAAACCTCCCCCGGGAGAGAGACGTTACATATGCGCTGAGTGTGGGAAAGCCTTTAGTAATAGCTCAAACCTCACTAAGCACCGGAGAACACACACTGGGGAGAAGCCGTATGTGTGCACCAAGTGTGGGAAAGCCTTCAGCCACAGCTCAAACCTTACCCTTCACTACAGGACACACTTGGTGGACCGGCCCTATGACTGTAAGTGTGGGAAAGCCTTCGGTCAGAGCTCAGACCTCCTTAAACATCAGCGAATGCACACTGAAGAGGCACCTTATCAGTGTAAAGATTGTGGAAAGGCTTTCAGTGGTAAAGGCAGCCTCATTCGGCACTATCGAATACACACTGGGGAGAAACCTTATCAGTGTAACGAGTGTGGGAAGAGCTTTAGTCAGCACGCGGGTCTTAGTTCTCATCAGAGACTCCACACTGGAGAGAAGCCATATAAATGTAAGGAGTGTGGGAAAGCCTTCAACCACAGCTCCAATTTTAATAAACATCACCGAATCCATACTGGGGAAAAGCCCTATTGGTGTAATAATTGTGGAAAGACCTTCTGCAGTAAGTCAAATCTCTCCAAACACCAGAGAGTCCACACTGGAGAGGGAGAAGTGCTTTAACTGGCAAATATACTCTTGCTGGTTTTGGGATTCTGTGTTTGTTTTTCTTCTTTAGAACATGAGTGCTAGAGAGAAACCCAGTAATTGCAATATAAACTCTGGTGGTGGATTTTATTTCACTCCACATCAAAGGATGCCTGAGGAGGGAGCTGAGGCGGCAGCACTGTAGGATGGGGCCCTGGTGGGTGTCGGGATTCCTCACTCACCAGCTCACTGGGGCAGGGTCCCCTCGCCACACTTTGGTCCTATAAACCATGCCAGCATTGCCTTTTGTATAGTTAAACTCATGTGTATCCAGTATAGTTAAAGAAGAAACGTAAAAGCTGTTTAACTGTTTTAATATGTATTCAAGAATGACAATTTGTAAAGAATTGAGCCACGCTGAACACAATTTAATCTGATTCAGAATAAACTTAGAACATCTTGTAATGCCTCAAGACTGTTATTATAATAGAGGGTCTGTTGGTTATTGAACACTATGCTGAAGAGAGGAAACGTCTCCTGGTTTAGCGTTTGGAAAATTTGGCTTTGGGTAAATGGAACTTTTAGTACTTGTGAACGTGTGTGTCAGGAGGTCGCGGTAGGGTGTAGTCGCCTGCTGCCTCTTGGTCTACATTGTGGTTTTCTACAGACTGAACACATTTTTCCATCGCTGGGAACATTCTGTCAGCCTCCTGTGCTTTTTGTTGTGTATATTCTGTCTCTACCAAAGTCTGAAAGTGTGACTCTCCCCGAGAAGTTTCTTCTAAACTCCAGAAGTCAATAATACATAATACGATTACTTAGGTCCATCCTGCCTCTTCCTTCTGACTGCGGTCTCTCTGAGGTCTTAAGATATTTTTCTCTGTGTCCCTTATAAAGTCTTCTGGCCGGCAAGTCCTCCTCTCCCCTAGAAACCCAGTTAGTTCACTCCCTCCTCTCACTTGCTTATCTTCATGTTACAAGGTTTTTTTTTTTTACCTCTGACTAGTAGTCACTGAAATACCTTTTTGTCTACTGCTGCAGCCCTTAGGGTCAGACGAACCTACATGCCAGGATTAGGGACAGCAAGAAAGTCTCATGTCTAGTACCAGTTCTGATCTCTGGAAACCAGCCTGAATGCCATCCTGGGATGATTAAATAACTAAGTCTTTATGCACCAGCCAGATAAGTTAGGGAGAGGGTCATTGCTGAAAAAGAATCAATAGTGCTTGAAATACGAAATAGTCTTACTCCTCCGGTAGCTTACTGACGATCCTGATGTCCTGCCAGCACCTTAAACTCAGTACATTTCACGTGAGCTGTGCTGTTTGCATATTAACCGTGATGGAGGCCCACAGAGAATTTAGTGATCAGGCAGCAGCTGATTATCTTTAGGCCCCTGGTGGAGCTGCTGCATATGAGGGAAATGAAGCATCCTGCTGGGCCCCAAGAGCTGCCGCTCATCGTCCTACTTTGGTGAGAGGTGAAGGGGTCCCACATCTGTGCTGTCTCACAGCCCAGCAGGCCGTGAAATCTTTACCTTAGGCTGCTTCTCCCTCCATGCAAGCGAGACGTACAGACATACAGTCTCTCCCTCCAGGTAGACTGCAGCTCTGCCCACTGGATTTCCCCTCACGCTGGCCTGTAGGGCCCTCCTGGGGAAGGCCGGAGTGCATCAACAATGCATTTCTGGTTCACATCAGTGTCTTGAGCTGATCCCTCTGTGAAACAAACCCTAGGTGTTCCACCGACAGGTTAAAGGGAGCCTTCCGTGAATCCACAGGTGTGAACAGAGGGAGGGCATCACTTCAGCAAACGTAGGAGACGGGGATGGGTCTGAGCCTCCTGCGTACATACCTTGTGGCTTCTGGACCTGCTCATGCCTGATCCCAAGTGTGACACTTCCCCCACATGATGGATGGTTGCTCTGTCTACCCAGTCGAGTGACTTGAGTCAGAAAATACTCAGCTGTGATCAATAGCTACAGGCACGTAGTCATTTGCTGTCATGGTCAGTAGCATCCCAGGAGCTGCTTTTCAAACTGCGTAGTTCTCTGCTGCAGCAGGCATGACTTCTATTGGCAAGTTCCTATTGGGCTTGGCAGACCTCTACACAACATTTCTATCCAACACAGATGACTCTAACACCATTTGAATCTGCCGGGTCATATGGTGCTTGGGCTGTGTGACTGGACCACACTTGAAAGTGGATGTGCTGCCTCCAAAATCCAAGGAGGCCCACCAAACACTGCCTCTTTCTTAGTCTTAGTAGTGAGGGCAAGATGCAGTAATTTGTCCCTTACCTTAGAATGTCCCAGCATGCCTCAGATGCTTGGACCCTTAAAAACTTCACTGATATAAAAGGCCCTGGCATCTTTGTAGGGTTTATCTCCCCTCCTCTGGTATGTGTGTGTGTTACTGAGGGATCCATGTACGCCTGCCACTTCCTCTTCACCAGGTCTGATTATTAGGATGTTATCAGTTGAAGGATGTTCCACAGAATGTCCACAAAATCAGTCCCTGTGTGAAGTAGGAGGGTTGACAAGTCCTTTGTCAAGAAGTTGGATGTATTCCGTTGTCCTTCCCACTTAATCATGAACTGCCTTTGGTCCTTTTTATTGATGGGAATGGAAAGAATGCATTCACCAGACCACTAGCTGCATGCCAGGAACCAGGGCCGTGTTGATCTGTTCCAGTGAAGACAGCACAGCAGTTGTGATTAGGTTGACGGCAGACAACCGTCATCGGCCACGATTCATCTGTTTTTTGTAGGAGCAATACAGAAAAATTGAGTCAAATCTTTGAGAGTGGCACTAATCACTTCAGTTCCACGCAGGATATAGTATTGTTTCTGATGTACTATCTTGGCTCGGTAAAGGGGAGGGAGGACTTCAAGGGTTTCCTCTTGGCCCTTTCTACCATAACAACTTATGCTACAGGTTGGGGAACCAATTTGCCAAAGCTCCATCACCCTCCTGAATACATCCATCCCAGTTACCCTCTCAGGAACAGGTCCACACGGTGGGTCTCGGGCCCTCTGGGCCCACTGAGGTGCATCTGGGTCAGGACTCCATTTATGAGCTCACCTCTATCTGCATGGCAGTGATGGAGTCGTGGATGCTCTAGATTCAGGTCACCTCAGACCCTCATCCAGTAGCCTCAAAAGGTCTGGCATTCCCTTCCCTTCGTGTCCATCTAGGGAACAGCCACAAGACCCTCTGGGGCAATATTTATTGCATATTCTTGTGGTGGAATTGTAAAGTTCTTCCCCAAAGAACCCAAACCTCCCGTTCAACTGATGAATTCATCTGAGGACTGGCTGAGACCCGGAAAGTGGGTGAAAGATTGCAATTTCCCATCACAGTGGCTAATATCAGCCTTCCCCCCAGCTCTTGATTTTTTTGTTTGTTTATATGTCAGGCACTACCTTGGTGACTCCCAATCTTTCCCAGGAACACCAGGGGTTATTAGCCATCACCACGGATCCCTGTGGGTCAAGACACCCTAGTTGCCAGTCTGTCCACGTTGCCCTTCATAGTAGCTATTTTAGAATTCAGTCATCCCCACTGACGGCAGGAACTCAGTTCCATGGCAGCATCTCCCGTTAATCCTAACCTACAGTGACAGCCACCACCGAACTTCTCAGCAATACCTGTGCTCCCCTCATTAGTGCATCCCTATTGTCTTAGTGAAGGGGGAGTGCTTTAGGCCCCCTAGTAACATAGCCAGGCGTTGGGTTCTCCAGTCTCATGTTTTAAGTTCACCTTAGCACTCATGAGCCTGCTGACCCCTTTCTCAACACTGCTAATTAATTAGTTGCAGCAGCTCTGCCTCATTTACTATAGGCCATCATTCACATCCAAGTTTTAATGAGCCACCTAGAGTGCATTAGGATTGTATTAGTTTTTCTATGGTTGCTGTAATAAATTACCACAAACTTGGTGACTTAAAAAAAACTTTTTTTCAATAATTTTATTGAGATCATAATGGTCTATACCTGTGTAATTATTGTGTACGTTATTGTTTATCAGTTTCTGAGTAGACTTCATTGTGCTGACCACCAGTGGTCTAATTTTCATCCATCACTGTCCCTACGTGCCCTTTTACCTCTTTCGCCCACCCGCAACAACACGGCTTTGTTATCTGTGGATTAGAACTGCAACATGGGTCTCACTGGGCTAAAATCAAGGTGGTAGCAGGGCTGTGTTCCTTTGTGGACTCTGGGGGACAATCTAATTCCTTGCATTTTCCAGCCTCTAGAGGCTGCCCACATTCCGGCCTCCTCCCCCACCCCCTCCCCTCTGTGCCCCCTCCCTCCCTCCCCTGTCCGGGAACGCCAGCGTCAGGACCACAGAGTGAGCTAAACCTCCGAGGTCCTAGAGAGGCCCGAAGTCGCGAGCCCGGGGGTCTCCTCAGGCTGGGGCCTCACAGAAAATGGGCGGAGAGCACGCGTGCGTGGGTTTGGGTCCCAGCGCCTCGGCCGCTGTCGGGAGGTCCGTTCGTTCCGAATCGTGGGTGCCCCGGGCCGGCAGAGGACGCGGCGCTGCCCGGTGAGGCTCCGGGGGCGGGGCCGCGTCCGGTTCCGGCGACCCCCCGCGAGGCGAGCGCGCTCCGGCTGCTGGCGGCCCTGGGCTTCTGCGCGCGCTCCCGCTGGGCCGTGCGCTTTCCTTGCGGCTGAGCCGCTTAACCCTCAAGATTCCGGAGGAGCCGGATCCAGCCTATAACGCACGCAGGCCCTAAAGGCAGGGTTGGCCGCGCTAGGGCTGGATCTCAAGCCTTCTGGGGACCGCTGCCTGCTTCAGTGCTCTTGATGGTTACACAAGTTGACCCCTAATACAGTGTTGGTCTGCTTACTTAAGATCTGTATCTCAATGAGTTATTCCGATAAGCTAACTGGATGCACGCTGTTTTTAAAAACTAGAGTAGTAGAGAAATGTTACCTGCAAAATAAACGCCCCTTATAAGCTCACACTTAATATTTGATGCCTAGTGATTCTTAAAGACTTTTCCAAGCATATATAAATACATTTTTTTTTTTAACAAAAATGAGGTTATGGTATATATGCTGTTTTGGACTTTGCACTTTTAAAGTCTAATTGTACCTTGGACCTTCTCCCATATCGATCAATACTGTACATAGGAATCAAACTTCATTCTAACCATTACCTGGTTTATTTAACCTTTCATCTCATGGTTAACATTTGGATTTTGTCCAATTCTGTGTGATTACGAAGGGCATTTTTGCACAGGTTTCTTTGCAGACTTATGGAAGTATTTCCATACAACAAATTCCTAGATGTGGAATTGTTCTAACGTAGTGTAAAGGAGACCTAGCATGAAATGTGGTTGCGCTTGCACGCAAGGCATCTCACAAAGCTGGCTGGACTCATCTGCAAACAGAATGTTCTGCCTTGTGAACTCACAAGGCCCCAGGGAAAACATTGCTTGCAAACAAGGATGTTTTATCAGTTCCTCACAAGGAACAAGCCTGGGGCCTTGGGAGTTTGAAACATTATGAAGGAACCTGTTAGAAACAGATATGTAGGGGAAAGCTCATTATTGTGGGACGCTTGCGCAGGCTTAAGTCGCTGACTCCTTGCTTTGGCAAAATGCTGGCTTTGTTTAGAGGCTATAAAAATAAAGAGCTCGAGAAACTCGAGACTACACAGCAACCGGTGTTTGTATATTCATTTCTTCGGCGGCATCTGGCGCCCAACGTGGGGCTCGACGAAACCGAAAGGGTAAGCACCCCGGGAAAAGCAAAGGGGGACTTTCGGGAATAAGTAAGTCATGGGGAATTCTAATTCTCTCAGGTCACAATATTTAGACCTTATAAAGGGACTCCTTGAGTCCGTCGGGGTAGAAGCGTCCTCTCGGCACTTAAATGAATTATTTCGGCATGTTGAATGCCACTGTTATTGGTTCCGTCATCAGACAAAGGTTCAGTTAAATTTGGGGGAGTGGAAGCAAATTCAAAAGGAGTTGCGGAAGCAACATCAGCGGGGAAACGTTATGTCTCTTAAACTCTGGATTCTCTGTAGCGCCGTTACTCAGGCGCTTAAAATTTTTGAAACAGATAGTGAGGTTAATTCCTTCGTAGTGAGGCTCATTATGAGGACGTTCCGGTGGAAGAAAAAGATAAAAAGGAGGGATCTTTCCCTCCCTCTCCACCGGAGCCTCCTGATGGGATTTCTAAGTCTAGCTCAGATTCTGAGGAGGATAGTGACGAGGAGGAAGAAGATAAATTGATTTCCAAAATGGCTGAAACGTTTTCTAAATTACTACAAAAGACTCAAGGGAAGAAAAGCCAACGGTGTACACCCACTGCTCCTCTTTATGCCTCCTTGTACCCAGTTGCCAAGACAAAGCATGTGGATGTGGGTCAGGAAAATCGCCGTTTTACATTTCCAGCCACAATGTTTTATGATGGCGAGGAGGATCTCCCTGCGCCGCCTGGTGGATTTATAGACTCTCCTTTTCTTTTCCCTATTACCCGACAGCCCGGTCAGCCCGGAATGATTAATGTCCATTATACGCCAATGGAATATAAATTTTTTAAGGATTTAAAATTGGCAGTATCCCAATATGGACCCCAGTCTCCCTTTGTCTTGGCAATGATGGAAAATGTGGGGATGGCCAAATTGCTCCTGCCCATAGACTGGGAGGCAATAGGACAGGCTGTTCTTGAAGGGTCGCAATGGCTACAGTTGTGAAGTTGGTGGGAGGAAGAAGCAAGGAAGCAAGCTCGCATTAATCAGACCCAAAATCCCCAGGGTCCCTTGGAGGATAAGCTAATGGGGGAAGCTGCATTTAGCTCTTTAGCAGCTCAAGCTCAATACACTGATCAAGATTTACGACAGGTTCGTCAGGTATTTTTAAGAGCATGGAGGCGTGTAGTCCCGAGTGGACAATCACAGCCCTCTTTTGTTAAGACTATGCAGGGTGCTACAGAGCCTTATACTGATTTTTTGGCGCGATTAAGGATTGCTGTTGAGAGAGCTGTTGGTACCGATCAGGTTGGGAGGCTCTTGCTAGAGACCTTGGCATATGAAAATGCCAATCCTGAATGTATGCGCGTTCTTGATCCGTTGCGTGGTCAAGGGGCTAGCATTGCTGAATACTTTAGGGCATGTGCAGGTGTGGGAGGAGTTGAACATCAGGCCTCTGTTTTTGCTACTGCTATGGCTACTGCCTTGAAACCTCAGCGACAGGGCACTTGCTTCAATTGTGGGAAGCCAGGACATTTTCGCAAGGACTGTCGACAGCGCAACCGACAAAAAGGGGGACCTCCTGGTCTCCTTAATGTCCCAAAACCACAGCCACCAGGTCTTTGCAAACGCTGTGGAAAGGGAAGACATTGGACTAACGAATGTCAATCCCGCACCGATAAAGATGGAAATCCTCTCCCAAACCCCCCGTCCGGGAAACTTCCCAGTGGGCCTCAGTCCTTGGGGCCCAGCAACAATACCGAGGACCCAGGGGCCAACGACTCTCCCATCGTCTCCAACTTTGCAAAAATCCCCTCATATGGTTGTCACTTAGTAATTTCAGATTTAAAGGCTGCCACCCATGGCAGTGCCGCCGCTGATCTGCCTATTGCTGAGAATGTAACACTCTCTCCAGGAAGTGGCCCATGTAAATTACAGACCAGTGGTTTTGGTCCCTTACCTCAGGGCACTTTTGCACTCCTCTTAGGTCGGCGTAGCGCTGCCCTTCGAGGAATAACTGTTTTTCCGGGAGTGATTGATCCTGATTATAGGGGAGAGATTTGCATTGTTGCCTAAGTTTCCAAAGTTACTTCATTATTGGCAGGAGAACGGATAGCTCAACTCTTGCTACTTCCATATATTTCTTTTCCTGCGATGGACAAAGAAAGGACAGGGGGTTTCGGCAGTACAGGCAAAGGAATATATTGGGAAATGTTCATCAATGATTCCCGTCCATCTTTAACCTTGACTATAAATCAAAAATCTTTTGAAGGCCTAATTGACACCGGGGCCGATGTATCTGTTATATCTTTACTTCAATGGCCAGCCGACTGGAAAAAACAGAGATGTTCTTTGATGTTGTCAGGGATGGGTACGGCCTCTGAAGTATGGCAAAGTGCCCAGCCCTTGTCTTGCCACATAAATGAGGGAAAAGAGATATTTATAACATTTTATGTGGTTAATATACCCATTAACATCTGGGGAAGAGAGATTTTAACTAAACTAGGGGTATCCTTATCTTTCCCTCTGGAAAACTAATAGCCACTGCTCAACCCCCTCAAGCACTTCCTCTTAAATGGCTTACAACTACTCCTAAATGGATTGAGCAGTGGCCTCTTCCTATGATAAAGCTCGAGGCCTTAAGATCGTTAGTGGCAGAACAATTAACTGCTGGCCATATCGAACTTTCCACTTCCCCATGGAATTCTCCTGTGTTTGTAATCAAAAAGAAATCTGGAAAGTGGAAGCTCTTGGTCGATCTAAGAGAGGTTAACAAATGTATTGAACCCATGGGCGGATTACAACTTGGCTTGCCTTCCCCCGCCATGATTCCTCAGACTTGGTCTATTACTGTAATAGACCTAAAAGATTGCTTTTTGACAATCCCTTTACAGCCACAGGATAAGGCCAAATTTGCTTTCACTGTACCTACCTATAATCATCAACAGCCAGTTGAACGTTATCAATGGACCGATCTCCCTCAAGGTATGATTAATAGTCCGACCTTATGCCAAGAGTTTGTGGCGCGGGCCTTGACTCCTGTGAGACACTTGTTTCCTCAATTTATCTTATATCACTACATGGATGATTTACTCCTTGCTGCCCCTAATAGGGAACAAAAGGCTCCATTTTATCACAAGGTTCTGGAGGCCTTAAAAGCCTTTGGATTACAGGTTGCGCCTGAAAAGATCCAAGAGGAATTTCCTTATTCTTATCTAGGATCGACTCTTGAATCCACTCAGATTAGACCCCAAAAAATTCAAATTCGAAGAGATCATCTAAAAACACTTAATGATTTTCAAAAGTTACTCGGAGATATTAATTGGCTTAGGCCCTCCATTGGCATCCCGACTTATCGATTACGTCATTTATTTGGCACCTTAGAAGGAGATAGGGCGCTTAATGGTCCCAGACAATTGTCCCCTCAAGCTGCAAAGGAGCTCTCATATGTGGAACAGCGTATCTCCCAAGGGTTTCTTTCCTACTTAAATCCACAAAAGTCTGTTCAATTAATTCTTTTCCAAACGCCTCACTCTCCTACTGGAGTAATATCCCAGGACGTAGCCATTTTAGAATGGCTCTCCCTCTCCAATCAGACCAACAAGAAGTTACAAACATATATTGATAAAATAGCTCTTCTCATTGCAAAAGGTAGAACACGAGGCCTTCAATTGACTGGCCAAGAGCCCCAAGAAATTACTACTCAATTAACTAATGCTCAAGTCTCAAAAGATTTTCAATTCAATGAAGAATGGCAACTAGCTTTAGCAGATTATCCTGGAAGGCTATCCAATCATTATCCTCACTCTAAACTTTTCGATTTTCTTCGACAGACATCTGTTGTCATTACTAATGTTATTTCTCACACGCCCGTTTCAGGTATTACTGCTTTTATTGATGCTAACAAGACATCTGAGGGATATTGGACAGACCGGCAATACAAGGTGTTGCCTCACTCCTTTTCTTCAGTCCAACTCGCTGAACTTTGGGCCATAACTTTAGCCTTACAAGAATTTAATACCGTCCCTCTTAATATTGTTTCTGATTCTCGTTATGCTACCTTATCCTGCTCCATACTTCCAGACGTTGATCTCCCTTTGTTTTCTAGATCTTCTATAGATAAACTTTTCTTACGGGCCCAACAGTTACTACTACAGCGACATGACCCAGTGTGCATTTGTCATGTTTGAGCTCATTCTACCTTACCTGGCCCTGTTGCTGAGGGCAATCGCTTAATAGACACCTTACTGTTCCCTCTCCAGGCGGCGGAACACGAACACGCTCTTCATCATACTAATGTTCAAGGACTTCTTTCCAAACATTCTATTACTCATCACCAGGCTCGTGACATAATCCATACATGCCCCTCTTGTGCCCCTTTCTCTTTGACCCTTCTTCCTCCAGGTGTCAACCCTCGAGGCCGTCAAGTGAATGAAGTCTGGCAGATGGATGTTCTTATTGTTCCCTTTTTCGGACGATTAAAGTATGTTCACCACACTATTGACACCTACTCTCATTTTCAATGGGCATCGGCCTTATCTTCGGAAAAAGCTGATGCAGTTATTACACATTTACTCGCTTGTTTTGCAATCATGGGAATACCTTTACAGATAAAGACTGATAATGCGCCTGCTTATCAGTCTCTTAAACTCCATAAATTTTTTCAAAAATATCACATTCAGCACATTTTTGGTATTCCTTATAATAGCCAAGGTCAAGCGATCATTGAACGTGCTAATAGGACCTTGTGTGAATATCTCACAAAACTAAAAAAGGGGGATGTGAGTAGAGAAATGGTCGAAACATACCTTAAAGTGGCATTGCCACAATGGAACTTTAAATGGTTATGGAAATAAGACTGTGACTATGCAGCATTTCGCTCTTGTTCCCCCACTTTTACAACATCCTCCTTATCCTCAAATTCAGGGAGATATATGGAAATTGTGGGCGGTGTCTGGACATTTGACTGTATGGACTGGTAATTTTACCTTAAATGTGTCTCAAAGTTCCGGACCTTTTCAGGTTCACCTACATAAGAATAACACCTACACTGCAACGGCTTGACAAATAAAAATGGCAAGCAATAGGATATATTGGAGTATATGAGGAAGCCATTTGGTATAAACCTAATTCGGCCTGACTTCTCTCTTTTTTTTCCTCCAAAAGGGCCTGACTGGCTATTGAGCACGCATTGCATATCTGCTTGGACATTTCCTATGGCCAGAACAAAGGCCCTTGTGATAAAGATGCAACTTCCCCCCACATTAGCATTTTTGCTTAGGCTAGGAACTGATTGCTGCACTGACCTCCCAGCTCACCTGTGACCACCCAGCTGGAGACAAGAGACTGCCACCCTGCTGTGTTCACCGAGACAGCAGACCTACCTGCTATTTCCATCAATCGCTGTGCCGACAGAGCAGTCTCGCGACTATTGTAAAAGGGACATTTCAATCCTATGTGAAACATCCTCTTTGAGGGTATATAACCACCCTTATACCCCGACTTCTTTGGAGTGCTCTGTTCCTTTGTGGAAAGACTCTCCCGGGTTATAATCCTCAGATTTAAGCTCAGAATAAACTCACCCAAATTTTCATTTATAGATTGGATATGGATTATTTTCGTCGACAGGCTTGTGTCAAATTTCCCTATTCCTTATTATCAGGGAAAATTATGTTAAGTGTTACAGAGGGATATGTAAATTGTACTGCTGATTGTGTCTTTACTCAATGTGTAAATAAAACTTGGTGGGAGACAATCGAAGATACCAATAAATCTGTAATAATTGTAAAAGCTCGTTCCGAGTTTTGGATGCGTGTTAATCTGACACGTCCTTGGTCTGACTCTATTGCTGTTTCACATCTGTATGATGCCCTTCAAGTTGTACTACATCGATCTCATCGACTAGTAGGATTGATCGTCGCGACTATCCTTGCGGTTGCATCCGTTACTGCGACGGCCGCTGTGGCCAGCCTGGCACTGCAGCAAGAGATACAAACTGCGGACTTTGTCAGGGAATGGCACAAAGACTCTCATGCCTTATGGCAACAGCAAAAGGACTTAGATGCTCAATTAGCTACCGATGTAATTAACTTGCAACATACTGTATCTTGGTTAGGGGATCAACTGACAGTTCTTGCTACCCGCAGTATATTGAAATGTGATTGGAATTCTACACAAATGTGTGTCACCCCACTGCATTTTAACATGTCAGAAGGATGGGAAATGATTAAGTGCTCTTTACGGGGTCATCAAAATTTAACTGCAGAGATAATGCAACTCGAATGATCTATTGCAGACACTTTCAGTAAAGAATTGCCTAAATTGACTGGGGATGACCTGTTAAAGGGACTGCAGGAGGGGTTAAACCGTTTGAATCCCTTGGGGCGTGTAAATACGCTGTTGTCTACTTCTTTAGGGAATCTGGTGCTAATATTGATTTTATGCTTGCTTCTCTATGTAGTCTTCCGGCGCTGGAGAAAGCGACAACAACTAAAAAGTATCGTTGAGACCGTTGCGCATGCTGTCCGTCAAAATGCTAACAAAAGAGGGAGAGATGAAGGAGACCTGGCATGAAATGTGGTTGCGCTTGCACGCGAGGCATCCACAAGACTGGCTGGACTTTTCTGCAAACAGAATGTTCTGCCTGGTGAACTCACAAGGCCCCAGGGAAAACATTGCTTGCAAACAAGGATGTTTTATCAGTTCCTCACAAGGACAAGCCTGGGGCCTTGGGAGTTTGAAACATTATGAAGGAACCTGTTAGAAACAGATATGTAGGGGAAAGCTCATTATTGTGGGAGCTTGCGCAGGCTTAAGTGGCTGACTCCTTGCTTTGGCAAAATGCCAGCTTTGTTTAGAGGCTATAAAAATAAAGAGCTCGAGAAACTTGAGAGACTACACAGCAACCAGTGTTTGTATATTCATTTCGTCGGCGGCATAGTGTGCACTTTTTGTGTCACCATATTGCCTTCCAAAGTACTGAGCCAATTTACACTCCTTCACCAGTGTTTTGTTCTTAGAAAAGCCTTCCCCATACAAAATTAGAAAAAATGTGCACTATTTTTATTGACTTTTTGTGTCTTCATTTATTAAAATATTATGAAATGTATTATTCTCCTCTTATCTGTATGCTTGAAATAAATGTGCCCACCACCTGTTTTTCTTCCAGATCTTTAAATTACGCTCTATTTGCTTCAGATTCTCTTTCTACCCCTCCCCCTCCGTTTTTTAAGAAATAAAATTTCTGTGTTTAGAAACCCTCCCCTGTAAACCCTTGCACCTTGTTTCCCTTGAACCTGTTTCTGTCTCCAGTGCTAACCATTATGAATTCTGTGTTTCTCATTTCCATGTATCATTTTGCACTTTTGCTAAATGTATATTTACACACAATCTACATCATTTTGTTTTGAAGATTTTTAAATTGGCAATAAATGATATCATACCACACTCCACAGCTTGCTTTTTTCAATTATTGTTTTTTTGCGATTTAACTGCAAGATAACAGCCCATTGTATGATTATTTTATTGATGGACATGTAGGATGTTTCCCCCTTTTTTTCCTATCACAAACAGTGTTGAAGCAAATATGACTGTATACTCTGTGAGAACCCTGCGCTTCTCCGATCCTGAGCAGTGCAGTTGCTGGCACAGCACATGAGCATCATCTTCAGTCCTCTTAGATGATGCCAAATTGTTCTCTTGAGGAGTCCCAGGTTACCCCTTAAACCGCTTGGCATTGCTGACAACAAATTATTTCAGATGGTTGTAAAATGGAATACCATTGTCTTAATTTGTATTTTCCTACCTTTTCTTGAGATTGAGCATCTTTTGACATGTTTTTAGTCATTCAGAGTTCTTTTAATTGCTTATCTACTTGCCTATTTTACCACTAGGTTGATACATAGAAAGTCTTCATATAGTCTGGAAAAAGTCACTTAATAAAAATACAAAAACAAAGTAATATTCTCATTATCTTATTGAGGAGATTGTAAAGGGAAAGAGAATCAGAAATTTAATTTTCTGGGGCCAGTCTGGTGGCCCAGCGATTAAGTTGACATGTTCCGCTTCTCGGAGGCACGGGGTTTGCCGGTTCGGATCCCGGGTGCAGACATGGCAGCGCTTGGCAAGCCATGCTGTGGTAGGCGTCCCGGATATCAAGTAGAGGAAGATGGGCATGGATGTTAGCTCAGGGCCAGTCTTCCTCAGCAAAAAGAGGAGGACTGGCAGTAGTTAGCTCAGGGCTAATCTTCCTCAAAAAAAAAAAAAGAAAGAAATTTAATTTTCTTTCTTACATCAGGGCCAATGCTTAACATTTGAGGGGGATTTACAAACAAAATATAAATTCTGAGCAATGCCTAGAACTTAAAAAATAACTCATTCATATCTCTATGTTTCCAAAGTGGAGAGTGGGCAATAAATAATTTGTTGATGATTCCTCTTGTTTCACTTTAAGACTCCTTAAAAAATAAGATGGAACCCTAGTGAATAAATGTCACAGAGTACCAATTTTACTTTTACTCAAGTGGAAACAATTCCTATTTTAATAATAGTGATGATAATGACAACTAACATCTTTTGAGCTCTTAATAGGTGCCAGGCACTGTGCTAAACACTTTACGTACATGATTTAATTTTTTCCTCAACAACAGTGTTGTTATTATTAGTTTCTTTGTTTTATCAATGAAGAAACAGTCACCAGAAGGGTAATTGTCTTGCAGTCTCCCAGCTAATAGGTGGCTCCTGTGTAACGTGACTCTAGGTCTGCCTGCAATCATAATACATGATGAGGATCAATATTCTTGTAAATATGATAATCTCATGAATTGGCTATTTATTGGAATTTCAAGATAGAAGATCTTCAGCAATCCTATAACCCAATCCCCTTGTTTTATGGGTGACAAAATGAAGAGCCAAATGGAAATTATTCAATTCTAATAAAAGGCTGAGTTGGGCCTCAACTTCCAGGCTGGATGTATTTTCACAATTCAGCGCGATTCTGGAAACCAGCCCTTCATCAGCTGTGTGTGTTGCAAACATCTCCCCGTGTTTGCCCTAGATTGTCACCTGAATCCCGTGAACGCACCTCATGTCCCACTCACTCCTTCTGAAGGACCTCTGTGACCCCTCCCCTCGGTCTGTATTTTACCTTGTTTGCTGTGGCTCCCTGTGTTTTCAGGCGATACTTTTGTGAAACAGAGGGTAAAGGCAGATATTAAACTTAAGGGGTTAACCTCAGACGTTAAATTTCATCAGTATTTTCCTTTTCAATGTGCCCCTTTTTGTATTTTTGGAATACTTCCCACCCCAAAGTTACTTGTTATTTTCCTATATTTTTTTCTAAACTTTTTAGACTTTTGCTGTTTCACATTTATGAATTTTAGGATCAACTTGTCAAGTTACACCACCTAAAAAGAAAAGCAAAGTCCTAACCAAGTTTTGAAATTTTAATGCATAACGAGCAGCCTGACTCCACCTTTTGGTGTTTGCGGACAGCTTTCAAGCTACCCCCTCTCTTTCCCCATGCCCCACCTCTAAGCAAGCTGGTAAGAAAGCGGGTGTCCTGCGCTGTCAGCAGGAGATTCGGAGCAGCGGGGCTCGTGGAAGAGCAGGAACTCCCAGCCAGCCCCAACAATGATCAAAAACCCAGCCCCGTCTCCTTTCCCTGCTCTCTCAATCTGCTTGTGAGGGCTGCCTTCCGCTCCCCGGAGCCCCCAGTTGTGTAACTGATAAACCATTTCATACTCCTTGGTGTGTGTGTGGAGTCATCAGTCTCAACATTGGGACCAAATTTTGTATGGGGCGAGGAGGGTCCATCTGCCTCTGTGGGTGATGCAACATTTACCATGAATTTATACAGGAAGTTTGGGAGAATGGATCTCTCTGCCATGTTTTGTCCTTCCATTCCTTACTATGGTTTATTTCTCCATTTATTCAGGTCTTCTTTCTTTGTCCTTCAATAATATTTTATAATCCCTCATACTTATATATCTCTACACAAGGTCTTGTCACCTTGCAGTGTTTATTGTGAATGAGATCTTTTCATTCCTATTAAATCTTAGTTGGTTATTATAATAGAAAAGAATGTTATTGATTTGTATGTTGATTTTGTATCCAGCAACTTGCTGAGCTTTTATTATTTCTAATAATTTTCTTAAGATTTTCAGGTAGATAATACATACTGTTTGGTTTTCTTTTTGGGAGGAAGGTTGGCCCTGAGCTAACATCTGTTGCCAATCTTCCTCCTCTTGCTTGAGAAAGATTGTCACTGAACTAACATCGGTACCAATCTCCCTGTATTTTGTACGTGGGTTACAGCTACAACATGACTTGACAATTGGTGTAGGTCCATACTCAGGATCCAAACCTGTGAACCCCAGTCTGCTGAAGCAGAGCACGAAAACTTAACCACCACACCGCCGGGCAGTCCCCCATATTGTCTTTCAACAAGGTGGTTTTTTATCTTTTCTTTTCCAGTTCTTGTGACTTTCTTTTTCTTCTTGCATAAGTTAGGACCTGCAGTTTAGTGTCAAACTGTTAGATAAATAGAAATCATCTTAAGCATCCTTGTCTTGTTCGTGACTTTAATGGGATTTCTTCTAAAATCTCACAGGTAAATATGATGTGTGCTTTCTGTTTTGATAGATCCACTTTATTGGGATTTTTGAGAATTTTTATCATGAATGTTTCAAGTTGCTAACGCTTTTCTGCATCTATTGAAATGATCATATGACTTTTCTCATTTAACCTGTTAATATAGTATATTACATTTATAGATTTGTTTAATGTTTAAAGATCCTTCCATTCCGGTGATAAAATTTTATGATATATTTTATTATACTAATAAAGTTGTCATATTGATGTTTAGGATTTTAGCATCCATGTTCATAAGTGAGAATGGTTTTTTTCTTTTTCTTTTCCTTTTTTGTTTGAGGAAGATTAGCCCTGAGCTAACATCTGCTGCCAATCCTCCTCTGTTTGCTGAGGAAGACTGTCCCTGAGCTAACATCTGCGCCCAGCTTCCTCTACTTTATATGTGGGACGCCTGCCACAGCATGGCTTGATGAGCGGTGCCATGTCCACATCTGGGATCCCAGCCGGGGAACCCTGGGCCACCAAAGCAGAACGTGCGAATTTAACCGCTGCACCACTGGGCCGGCGCTGGTTTGTTTCTTATTTGGTCAAACCATCTTTAAAAATTGAATTGAGTTGCTTTCCCTTCTTTAGATAGTAATGTGGATTATCTGTTCTGAAGGTTTGGTAAAACATTTTTGTAAAACCATCTAGTCCTGCCCTGTGGCCTGGGCAGGAGACTTTTGGTTACAAATATAATTCATTTCCATTCATTTATTCCACAAATACTTATGGCCTGACCACTGTGTACCAGGTCCTATTCTTGGCATTGGGGAGATAACGTGAACAAACAGAAGACAATCCCTGCCCTCATGAGGTTACACTCGAGAGACAGGAGGCAGACGATAAACAAAGGAAATTAATAAAATATCTACTATGTATATGAGGAGCAGTGCTATCGAGAAAGACTAAACAGGGGAAGGCAATAGGGCAGCTGGAGTGCAGGTGGTAGAAATAAATCCCAACGCATCAGTAAGCACTCTAACTGAGTAACAGAATTGTATAACTGAGGTATGACAATCTACTAGAAATCTCAAGTGAATTTTAAGACAGACTATAATGTGCACTTTCAAAGATGGTGATTTTTTTTAAAGTTCAGCTATATATTGTTTACAAGAGACACACCAACATGATTATCCAGTAAGCTTGGAAAGTAAAGGGGTGCAAAAAATATGTATACAGGTAATTACTAAGCAAAAGAAAGCTGGCGCAGCTATATTACTATCTGGCAAAACTAACCATATGATAACAAGCTATATCAAAGATACAGAGGGGTAGGTCATAATTTTAAGAGGGTCAATTCATCGGGAAATATTACAGTTTGGAAGCTGTCTGTATCTAACAGTATAACCTCAAAAGATAAGCAGAAAAAAATTGATCCAACTAGGAGAAATGGACAAATTCACAACCATAGTGAGATATTTTATACTTTTCTCAACAATTGATAAACAGACAAACATTAGTAATAAATTAGATGATTTTTACAGCACAACTTAAGACACTTAATCTAATGGACCTGTAAATAACCCAACAATGAGACAAGGAGACATTTTTCAAGCACACATGGAATGCACTTAAGGGTTGATATCTTACGGGTTATTTCCCTGAGGACAATGCAATACAATTAGATATAAAAAACGTTTGGGGGGGTGTAAGGAAGACTGACCTTGACCTAACATCTGACGCCAATCTTCCTCTTTTTGCTTGAGGAAGATTGTCACTGAGCTAACATCTGTGCCAGTCTTCCTCTATTCTATGTGGGATGTCACCACAGCGTGGCTTGCTGAGTGGTGCTTAGGTCTGCACCAAGGATCCAA